GTTTTTTCTATTATTGTAAGGGCAATATGATCATTCGGAGCATATGAAAGAGAGTCCATACAAACCTCATCATGGACTTGAACAACACTATATTTTGTCCTTAAATAGTAGAAAAAACCTTTTCATATCCATTTTTATACCTAAATTTCATATACTTTGAAATCCAACTAACTTGCTATGGATACGCTTCCAGTGCGGAGTATTTTAAATTTGTTAGTTCAAGAGTAATAGGTTTTACTTCACCTAAATAAGATCAATCAATTCGCTTATCAGTATAAGTCCTTCCATTGTTAAAGCAAAACTCAAGCACACGACCATTAAGTTGTCTTTTAAACCAGTGTTTCGTATCAAATTCAGGTCGTGTTAGTGGGTGACGTGCGAATCACGCGATAATTACAGTTTGGCTCGCTGTGCATAGAACCTTCTCAAAACCTATGACGACTAACGCTAGGTATCTCTTGAACAGTTAACGATATCTGAGTCCCTTCACGAGATAGTCCTTCAAGAGTAACCAAAACTACGTGAAGGTACTGCTTAAAAAGTTAGTGATAGGGAATCTCGCTACGCCTTTGTGACTTATTGGTATTGCATATAGGCAGAACTCGAAGATTTATAGCAAGCCGTATAAAAAAATGCCTCAGAACTTATGGTTATCCCATCAGATAGGTCATCAACGCCTATGGCACGCGGATAGAAAAGACCGTGAGAACTTATAAGCTATCGCATAGGACAGACTGTGAGAACTTACAGCTATTGGCACAGGATAGGCCTTGATAACGTATAAGTATGTTCATGAAACACCCCTTTAGCTTATATGGATATTCTATCGGACAAGCCATGAAGACTTGTGGGCACCTTGATAAAATGGGCAATGTAAATTGATAGATGCCCCATAGAATATCCCGTGAGGTATTAGAAGTACTTGCATAAATTTGCCATTGAAGATTTATAGGCACCGGCGTTGGATAGATCTTTAGGATTTATATGTATGCTCATAGTATAGCCCTTAAGCTCAGATGGGTACCTCATACATTGGTCTTGAAGATTTATGGGTGCCTACATGGAAGAGACCTTGGAGTCTTATAGATGCCACTATACAAACTGCCATAAGGGCTGATATATATTTCCACAGAAAAGCCGATGATGACTTATAATATCCCATAGCATAACATTAAGGACTTATAAATACTTCATATAATAGTGCTTCAGGATTTATAGCTATCTGCATAGATTAGGCCTTGAAGACTTATGGACACTCCACAATAAAGGCGACACCAATTGGTTTGTACTTTCATAAGATAAACCATGAAGATTCATGCGAACCCCATAGAAAGGCTCCTGAAGACTTACAATCACTCCATAGAATGGTTCATGACTATTGATCGTATCTCTATTGGATTGATGTTGAGATTTCAAGAGTATTTCGTGAGAGACGTAATGAGAACTTATGGGTGCCTTCTTAGGACTTGCCTTCAGGATCTTTTAATGTACACCAGCTAATCCTAGGAAACTATGAAACAGCTCATATGAAAAGTATTAGTGACCGATTCTAGTTTCCGTGAGCCGGTCCTATCACACACCTAATGGATACATGTGGGTTAGAGGCACCTTCGAAGTAGCAATACAAATCTAAGAAATGAAATGATCAGTGGTTCAGAGTACGATAAGAATCTCGGCAGTACAGTGTAAACCCTGGGAGTACGATGAAAATCCCGACAGTACAATGGAAATCTCGGGAGTACAATGGGAATTCCGAGAGTACAATGAAAATCTCAGGAGTACATTGAGAATTCCGGGAGTACGATGGGCAAGACGATGGGAATTCCGGGAGTACGAAATTCGCCGTTTCCCCCTTGAGAAACACTGTCTGAAAGCAGTGGCCAACAATCCTGCATCTTTTGGTCAATCGCAAAATTAAGAAATAAAAGAGTTATGTTAATAAAAACAGTAAATTAAAGAAAGTTGGATCTTCTGATTTATTGTTTTATAGTTTTCTGTTAGTTTTAGATACAATGAGGAACCCGCAAGTATGGTGGAAATTCCGGAAACGTTTTGGAGAATCCTTTAGGAATCCTGGAAATCCCATGGGAATCTCGAGAATCCCGTGGGAATCCAGGGAATCCCGTGGGAATCCAGGGAATCCCGTGGGAATCCAGGGAATCCAGTGGGAATCCAGGGAATCCCGTGGGAATCCAGGGAATCCCATGGGAATCCAGGGAATCCTGGGAATCCCGTGGAAATCCAGGGAATCCCGTGGGAATCCTGGGAATCCTATGGGAATCCTGGGAATCCTGGGAATCTTGGGAATCCCGGGAATCCGGAATCCGCCATTTCCCCCTTGCTTAGTCCCCTTAGCCCCCTTAGTCCCCTTAGTGCCCTTAGTCTCTTAGTCCCCTTAGTCCCCTTAGTTAGTCAGCTTAGTACCCTTAGCCCCCTTAGTCAGCTTAGTCCCCTTAG